GAAGAGCAGTATAAGGAAAAGGGAGAACTAAACCTTGTATTTTAAACAAATAGTTATGTTTATTAGAAAACACTGGATAATTTTTGTGGCAAGATTGATGATGTGCTTTTACAAAAGCCTCTAAGGTATGGTTGTCTGAATTTCAGCAATTATGATAATTGAAAGCCACTTATGCTGTGAGATGAATAAATATTAGAATATATGTCTGTCCCAGAAATTATTCTCAATTTTATATTGAAAACCCTAGATAAGCATCTCTAATGTACTTAAGGTCACCATATATTAATAAAAATGATTTCCTTTTTAATTCAAATGCAGTAATTGGTTCTTATTACTTATTGTGATCTTCTGTTAAACTGCACATTTATCTTAGGGATATAGACCCTTGAGTAGAAATGGGCTTAAGAACTACATATGTTGAATGTTTTAATATCTTTGAAGTCTACTTAAACGAATAAAATAATTTAAAATACAAAAACCAGTTCTTACAAGACCTGAGACTTCATAATCTGTTTACCATTCTGATCCTTTTACAAAATGTTTTTTCTTGAATTTTTTCATCAATGCTTTCTGTAAGTTTTGAATGGCCTCAGAGCAATTTGAGGCTGATGTTTTTCCATTCATGGACTGCTGAGTCTCATACTTAGAAACTTAAATAAACATGGAACAGTTTATATTATATCTCCTTATTTAAGGACTAGAAATTAAATTTTCTAAGAGCCTTACCTTGCTGACTGCTCATAAACTGTCAGAGGAACTAGAAATTATTTTTGTTGTACAAGTTATCAGTTTGATAGGTTCGACTATGTTGGAAAATCTGGTCTTTGATATAGAAAAGATTTTTCACATGTATTCCGGAAGGTTCTACTCTGTCTATGTAGTGATTTCAGTAAAATCAAGTTGAGCAACCAACAAGTGATTAATTAATATAAGAAAATTTATAAAATGGGAGTAACAAAGGAATCTCTTTACATTCTCTTACGTCTATTGGCAGAGCCCAGTTCAAAGGTGCCAAAAAGAAAAAAAGATTTGGTAGAATCTGTTGAAATTTTTTTTCTTCAATCTATGAAACAGTCTCTGAAACCACAGTAATCTTATCACATAAAACTGGAAGTTATGCACAACATAGGTTCCTGATACATAATTTGCAAATGAGAACATGAAGAATATGAAAATTTGTGAAAATATTTGATTTAATGATACTGTGCTCCTTCACATTCAAATTCAATATTGTGTTCTTGGAATTTAAAAAAGGCAACCCTCTACAATTTATCATCCTTAAGAAAAATCTAGAAATTTTCTGTTTACCTGATATAAGTAACAAAATAGTGTCTATTTGATCTTGATATCATGATGCCATGACAATAATATCCAAAACAAGAGGGCATCATATTTGTATCTTAGAAGGAAAACAATATGCTCATTCAAAAAAAAAGATTTTCCCACAACCTGTATTATAAGGAAAGCAAACTTATAAGCAAAATTAACAGTTTCTTATTTTGAAAGGGCACCAAGAAAGAGTCAGCTTCTAGTTTTATAATGTATAGATTTTTTAATGTTTTTGTACACTGCACTTACTGCATTATGAACTTCCCACCATCACTATCGAAAATGCATTTGGAATATTGCTAGTAGAAATCATTTGAATTTTCTATTAATATTTTGAACATTTAAAAATTTGAGGGGGGAAATAGAATGATAACTGAAAAAGAAGTATAGCATATATCTTTGAAATTGATGATGCAGATATGGCCATTATTTGATTTTCATTTAGATTACATGATTTGTATTATATTATATGATGTCTCAATAAGTTTTGTACTCTTGCAGAATTATTTCTCCACTAAATAGATCCTGTAATATTAAATTAATATGAATTTATAGTACAATACTATGCCAGCTAAAAGCTTATAAAGTTCAGTCTTTGTATTGGATCTTGAACTGGAAGTGATATTGAATATAATTAACCATCATAGCTTGTTCTTCCTATGGGTAGCAGAGAACATTTCATTCAGGAACTTTGCTTTCTGAAATAATGGAAATAATGTATATGTTCAAAGATTGATTGGACAGTGCTAAAATAAGTGATGGGTCCAATATTTATTTTCCTTCTGGGCTTTGTGTAATCGTCACTTGAAATATCAACTATAGAAGATGAAGTAATTCAAGACAGCATTCTGTTAAGAACTACTACCGTAAATAAAAATGGCAAAATCTATTTCAGCTTTGGTTGGAGCATTTGAGAGAGATATGATGCTTTGGGCTGGGTGTGATCAATAGGCTTGTAATTTAACACAGTTTAGAATTAATTCGTACAGGTTAGCATATCACCTAAAATTATATTTAATGATTCAGCATTTGGATCTTTGCCAAGGATATATATCATATCCATCTTCCTATGAATAAGTAATAATCGGGGGGCACTGAAAATTGTGTTTAAATTGCTATCAGGTGATGTTAATATTTTGCCTATGGCTTTTCACCTCTTCAAACTCTTATTTAATGACCCTGTCAGTGTGAAAATACATATTGGGACTGGTCACAGTCTTAAAATAATACTTGCTGCATTACTGAATGTGATACCAGTAGCTATTAATGTTGTCACTTTAAAAAATGCCCTCTTTTTAGACTCGTAAAGAAGAGTAAAGTAGAGAAATCCAACTAACATAACTAGAACCAAACTGGTCTACATCTGATATATTTTGGTAATTATATAATTGTACCATGCAGCCCATATGACTGAGGTTATAAGATTAATGCATAATATTGTCCTGCACTTTCTCCTTAGATTAAAGCAATCAAATATATAGGCATGATAATATGAGATACTAGCTAAGGAGCTAAAATTTGTATTCTCAAATCTTGTATGTCTATGAAAATTATATTAGACTGTCTAGGTATTTTCAGGTAATTCAGAAGGAAAAGAACAGATTGACATAGGAGAAAATAACATCTCTTAGCTACTGGTACTTCCTGCAGCATCTCCTGACTTAGTGAACTGCCCTGAAGAGAAGGGTTAGTAATAACAAAGGGTTTTGACCAATTAGTAAGCCAATTGTTGCAACTCCATATAGTAGTTAAGTAATGCTGATGAAATAATGCTGGTCTGTATTCTGATGGAGTATCTTATGAGATACAAATGTCATTAAGATGCTGAGAAAAATGTTCTTTTAGAATGTGACTGTTAACATAAATTGTTACTCAGTTGCCTTCCAAATCTTTGCAGTTTATACCTCTCTTTTCACCTTCAAACCAATTTGCTTACACACAGTTGGTTCTTGTTAAATTAGTAGATGGAAATAGGGACCAAAATATAGACAATTCTCAGTCTGATAAGTGGAACATAGATTCTTAATAGATATGTTTCAATGCAGAGAAAATCTAGTTACCAGATGCATAGAATATGCTGTATATGGCTGAAAGATAATGGCTTATCATGTAGAGGATTTGTAGATTTTATCTACTTTTCACTAATAGTTTGGTTTAATAGAGCTTTAAGTAATACAATCCAATATATTGAGCTAAAGTAATGCCAATTATAAAATGTGCAAGTACTGGGATTTGATGCACTGGCTTTTTAAAGTCTGAAATTTCCATCCTTTTCACCCTGTTCAGATCTTTGCAATATTTATTCAAGGATGCTTATATAGCATATGCATCAGAAAAAGGATGATTTGCTTGAAAACCTTATAGCATAGTACAATATACAATGTTATATACTGATTTAAAGAATCCAAGCATCAATATTTCTTTTCCCCACAAACAAATGTCATTGTTGAACTTGCCATGATGGTTAGAACTACATATATACATTTTCTTCAAAATATTATACCTTTGATTATGTGTTCATGATTTTTGAGAATTGTGCTAAATAATTTCTTAATTGTATTACATTTAAACTACACAAATGTGTAGTAAAGTAAGTTTCATAAACCCCAAATTTTGAATTTGTAATATCCAAGAACTGATTATTTGCTTTTGAGAGAAATTTTGTCCTACTTTAAATGACATTATAATTTTTCTCCACAAAAAAAAAATACCAATCTGAGTTTTAAAAGTTCTTACTTTTTCCATAAGTGTAATTTAATTAATTATATTGCAATCAGTAGAGCCCTCTCCTTGAATATTGGATTTGTGTTTAAATTATCCAGGCTTGGAATTTACAGTGGTAATTGAGAATTCATTCTGTGAGAATAATTTGGTGCCAGAGGAATAGTAATGAATATAGAAATTAGTTTTCTGATATTAAGTAGACAGGCTTATTGAGGAAAAGAAAGAGGGCTTTTTGCTTTAACAAATCCTTAGTGTTCATTTCTTTATATGTTGCTCCTTGGTATGAAATGTATTCCATTAAAGTCAGGACAGATTTAACAAAAGTTGAAGCTCATGTAATATTTGGAGACCACACTAAATGCTACTGAATAGTTGTAGCAGGTTAATATTTTGAAATAATGAATGTGATCTTTATTTAGAAGTGGCAGTAGCTATATTCTGAATTTGCAACACATTTAGAATTCTGAAATCTTACTATAGAGTTAAAATTGTACTAAAATTTCATGCTGTAGTAGACTGGAAAAATCCCTTTTCTGCACCTTTCTACTGTAGATCACAAGACAGAGAACAATCTTTTAAGGAAATTACCTTTTTGGGTTTTTTTTGGTTAGTATGTATTTCATGAAACACTGAACTGGCTGAAATGTTGGTAAAATTTAGTAATTACAATGCATCATTTGGTAAAATATTTCCCCTTAAGTCCATTAAATATATCCCCAACAATATTTTCATCCAAATTATTTTTCTAAATTATATCTGGAGGCTTGGGAGTAAAAAAATAAAAAATTACACATATAATTACATAACATGAAACAATATACATATTTTGGGCTTGAGCATATTTAGATTCCAAACATCAGGAATGCAAATGTAATGCCAACACTGTTATTTAAACACTGAAAATATTGTGGGTTTATTTAAAAAAAAAAAAAAAACACACCCTGAAATACTACTGCATCACTCAAAACAAGTTGCTTAGAAAAAAAATCTAGGCTTTCTCAGTTTTTGAGTTTTTTTAAAAATGTATCAGATCCCTGCAATTTAAAATAAGTTTATCTCCTTTGTGTTCTTTGATTACCTGTAGATATTACACTTCACATTCTTTATAGGGTAACTGCTGACATTTGCATTGTCCATAGCCATTAATGATGATGAAGGGTCCTTCATGGGCAGGTTCATATTCATTATATGGTCCTTGGTCTGACATATTTGACATATGTAGCCGTGTTTGAGATCGTAGTTGCCTGTGGCTTTGAATAATTGAACACTGCCTAATTTTTCTTAATGTGGGAGGACAGCACTTCCTGGAGATGAACACTACAAAAATGATAAAAAAGAAAGAAAACAATAAAGCCATTGTTCCTGTAATTACCTGCTGGGTGAAAATGACATTGTTTGGTTCAGGCATCTGCTCTTCGGTGGTAAAGGGTACGCCTGTGGTGGTTGAAATCTCTTTATCTCCCACATGGAAATTTGAGGAGCTTATTCGTTTTGTATATTCAGTCGTTGGAGCTCTGTGAGTTGTAGCAATGGGTGTAACAACAGTTGACACATTCCAGCAAAGCTGAAAACCATAAACTGCATCTAGAATATCCTCTCCCTGTGTATGGTTTGGGGTATGACAAAGGATAGAGTATTCCCACCGACCGTGGAAGCCACTGAGCCATGTGGCTAGTGCGCATATTTTGGGGCTGCATTCCCAGGGGTTGCTGGAGAGACCCACAGTCGTTAGGGTTTTAAGTGAATATAAAACCTTGGACTCCAGCGTGGTTAGCTTGTTACGATCCATTAGGAGAATTTTAAGATTAGGCATTATTTCAAAAACTGTCATATCAATGGCTTTGATCTCATTTCCAGACAAATCTAGCTTTTCTAAAGTGCTCCAGGTCCATTCCATCCCACAGGTCAGGTTGCTAATTTTATTCCCCTGTAAGAAGAGCATGTGCAGGTTGCTTAGCCGAAGGAAGTGAGCAAAGTTAATCTTTGTCAGCTGGTTGTGCTCTAGGTGAAGCTCCCTTAGTTTGGTTAATCCTGCAAATCCATTGCGTGCCAAACTTCGCAAGCGATTTGTGCTCAAATCCAAAAAATCCAAACTACGACAGTCTGAAAACAGGCGGACTGGAATAGTCCTCAGAGAGTTGGAACGTAAACTTAGGGTTTGCAGTTTACGAAGGCCATAGAACAATTCAGGATTCAAAGCAGATAATTGATTGAAAGACAGATCCAAATGTTGCAGGTTAAGCAGCTGGCTAAAAGTTGTGTTTGATAAATAAGATATTTTGTTTGAACTTAAAATTAATTCCTTGAGTTTATACAGTCCTTGAAAAGCATCTTCTCTTACTGTACCAATTTGATTATGGTCTAAATGAAGCCAGGTAAGTTGACTGAAGCTTGCAAAGTGATCCCCTTCGAGTTCCATAATAAAATTGTGCCTCAATGACAAACCTAGACAGCCCTTGTCAGTGGTGTTTGGCACCGAGTGAAACCCCTGAGAGTCACAGTAAAAGAGCAGCTTCTCACAACGGCATTTTGGTGGACAAGCCGTGCCCAAGGCAGGCAGCATTTTAAAAACAATACTCATTGCATATACTGCTGCCAGCATAGGAGCCCCTAATGGCCACTTGAAATGTAAGCCTGCAGAATATAATTCAGGGAAACAACAAAATAGGATATTCTTATCAGAGGTATGCTTAAAACAAGAGGAGAAAGATTGCTGCAAATAATGACATGCATTAAATTGTTTTGGAGCTTTAATTTTTATTTTAAAAAAATATGCTTGGTAGAGATATCTTAAGTTACTGGAATTACTGATAAGCAATTTCCCGGTCTTAAAAAAAGTATTGCTCCCTAAACGTGCATTTCAAGAGCTGGATTAACTGCACATTATAAAACAAGTCAAATAATGCAAACTTACCCATTCTTTTGAGTACGTTGGAGGTTGCATTCAGTCGTAGTTTTAGACTCAACACAGTGAGTCTGTAAAAAGCTCTAATGTTGACAGCTTTTAAATCATTTACTCTCTTTACTGTTCTTGGATATTGAAGTTTAAAAAAAAGGCTTCACATTCCATTTCTGATATATTCCTTTGAATTCATTACCTTGATTTCCAGTGGCAGATCTGTTAATTCCTGAATCGCTGCTGAGTTGATTGGCAGGTTTTCTTATACTGTACAGCTGCTTAATTGCGAACGCTTTCCACAGCTATGGCTTTTTTACTCTTAACTTGTTGATGGCAGATGGGTAGCTTATCACTGAGAGAAGCTTCTGTAGTCGCTTGAATGCATTTGCTGAAAAGCTTTCAGGGCTAAGGTACAGAACGCATTTGCTTATGTGCTGCTACCACACAACTGTATATAGGCTGACGTCACCCTGTGACGTTCCTTTTTGTTTGGGTTTTCCAGAAGCTTTTGCAGTTTAAGGCACTATAGTGCAAACTCTGAATTGTGAGATTAGACTACCACTAAGAGGAAAAAAAGTAAGAATTCTTCAGCTGATATCCAAGAGATGGGAATGATTTTTCAAGAGTGTCTCTTGCAGATTACATGCTTATTTACTACAATTTTAAAGCTATACAGATTTTGTTTTTTTTGTGATTTAGTATTTGTGTTGGTATTCTGTATGAAAACTGTAGAGGTGGTACATAAGAGCATTACACCTCACACACACTTTTTGTCCCCCCAAAAAAAACTTAACAGGAAAAACTTGCACACGATATAGCACTTTAGAAATTAGTACCATTCACTTATAAAGTTTTTTTTTTTTTTTTTAAAAAAGGGAAGATATTTATAAATGCATAGCTTATATTAAAAAGGCAAGATTTAAAAAAACGGTAAAGTGGTGTGTGAAAATCAATTGCACTGGGCTTTGATGATTCTTCATCTGGAGAGTTCAGACAGAATTTAGAAACATGTATACATACTTAAATACATACATGGATTCCATTCCAAACGATTGAGTCCCTGCCTGGAAATTTGCAGGATAGTAACATGAGCCAGAGACGGTAGTATTTAATTGCATGCTCGGCTTTGTAGTTATCCGTTCAAATAATGTGAGTAACCTGGTAAATATTTGATTTGGAAATGGTAATATAGTAGTTTTATTCAAATTTGGCAGCATCGAAACATAATTCTCAGTTAATAAGAATTAATGCTAACAGAACCTAACTCTCACTTTATATTTTGAGTATTATTCTGTCACTGCAATAATTGTTTAACTCCTAAAGTAGCCTGTAATTTTTTATAGAGTGTGTGTGTGTGTGTGTGTGTACGTGTACATGCATACATGATGGTAAAACTATATGATTTAGCAGTGTAAATAACTATGCTACTTTCTCCAGCACTGGAGATGGAGGATCCACCCATGGGCAGGAATACAGTCATAACCCATGAGTGGATCCTCCATCTCCGTGCTGAGAAAAGGCGTTCAGGTAAGACAACGCCCCTTCTCCAGCACTGGAGATGGAGGATCCACCCATGGGTTATGACTGTATTCCTGCCCATGGGTGGATCCTCCATCTCCATGCTGAGAAAAGGCGTTCAGGTAAGACAACGCCCCTTTTCTATGCCTGTTTTTCTCAGGGAAATTACTTCCTTTTCATCTGACACTTGTAGAATTCTTGATCAAGTACTTATGGAAGATAATATATCAGGAATTTTCAGTTACTGTTCTTAGAATTTTGAATATGCAGTACTTTTCAGAAAATTACTGTTAAATCTGATCTTTAGATTTGGCTGGTGGGGTGGGAGAGGTTATCTACAGATTTTACCAGATCTCATTAACCAAGCCAAAAACTCTGGTTGTCCATCCACAGTTAGAATGATGGAAGCTGTTCAACAGCAACCAAGGAAGCACGCAAAGTCCAAAGGGGCTCTGAGTTGAAATAGTGATTAGTAGTTAGCAGACTTGACAAAACAGGCAACTCCTTTCTTGAAAAAAGATAGAGCTGAAGAAGCTCTTTCCTGTTCTAGACCAAAAGCGGTGGGATGTTGAGCTTTTATGTCTGGTTCTAAGTCATAAAGAAACTTCCAAATCCAATCCAACATTCTGCTGAACTTTTTGATTGGGAAGAAAATGTGTTTTCAGAGTTGTGGTTTTGAAACTGAAGATGCCAGACTTCAAAATACCCAATGAAAGGTAGCTCCATACTTTGTATGGCTATCTTAAAGTACTAAACTCCCCACTATCTTAGCAGAGCCCTTTTTATTTTAGATCTTGAAACTCATATTCTCAAATCATGCATAATTGTTTTCAATTATTCGAGGTACATGAAAGGAAGAGACCCTGAATTTTAGACAATGTCAAAGAAACAAAGAGAGTAAAAAAAAACGATGAGCATGCTCATTTATTATACATAATGCTCAGATTTTTACCATATCAAGACTTAAGTATACCATCAACTGAAACCAGTCCTGGAGGTTTTTCCCTTCCAAAGGAACTGTGCATATGACATACTTCTACTCGGGTTTATAGATACTTGCCAGAAGCCACAATCTAAAAAAGGATAAAAGCTAAAACTTGAATTAATTCCTAGTTGTATGTAAAATAAGGCATTCCAATTTTTTTAATTGATTCTGTGTGTGTATGCACACACACATACAAAAGTATTCCCTCTTGCATAAAGATGCAAGTATGCGCACACATCTTCATTCCAGTTGAACAGCAAAAAAGAAAGAAAAGCAGGATGGAGAAAGGGTGTGAAAAAGGGATAGTCATATTTGGAATGTAAAAAAGAAAAGTTGAACCAAACAGGAGGAGAGGGGACAAAATAACTGAAAAAGGAACTGTTGGCCCTCCATTTGTAAAAGATGAGTATCTCCTTTAAGTCAAAAGAGGAGGCTAAGTAGCTGTTTTGGGTGGGGGTGGGAGAGAGAGAGAATATATGAATATGGGACGGAAGTGTCTGTCTTGTTTAAATAGTACTATTTATGAAAGAAAAACCCATCTCCACTTTAATTGAGGGAATCATTTTAAATAAAGATAGTAATAGAAAGTCATTTATTTTCTTCTCAGTTTTGCTGTCTTTTTATGTAATTAAATTGAACAATTTAGATTATTGAGAGTATACTTGGATACAGTTGCTTCTGTGATGTGGAAATTTCTCCTAATTTTTTCTTGCAATTGCCTGATGCCCTTATGATAGTCAAGTAGGCCATTTGGCTGCTGTTAGTTAACTGCTCAGATCTTAGAAGAACTAAAGCAGTGGTTCTCAACCTTTTTAATGCCGCGACCCCAACCGGTCGTAAGTCAAGGACTAAACCGGTCGTAGGTCGAGGACTACCCAACCAGTCGTAAGTCGAGGACTTTCCCTGCCCGGGAGCGCCGTGCATGCGTGGTTCCGCCCCCTGCGCCGGCCAAGGCGTAGCTGGCAAGCGGCAGAGACGGAGCAGGCCGACCACCAGCTGGCCCAGCCCAAGGGAGGTAAGGCACCCGCCGGAAAAGGGGAAAAAATGGCGGACAAAAAAAATGGCGGACAGTCTTGCTTGGCGACCCCCGTGAAATGGTCGATCGACCCCAAATGGGGTCCCGACCCACAGGTTGAGAACCACTGAACTAAAGGAAGACAAAAGTAGAAATAACAATGGCAGGTATTTGCAAAGGCAACTGAAGAAGGGGAAATCTTAAAAGTGAAGTTTAAAGAGAAATATTCCAACAAATGATAGTAATGAAGAAATAAAGAAAATGAGGTTAATATTGCATATAGCTAGCATTTGTGGGTTTGGGAATTCAGATTATAAATGATTTGAAAGAATGAGCCAAGCCATTTGGCTTCCAATTTTAAACAATGGACATTAGAATTCCAAGAATCTTTTTCTGAGATGGATAGAACTGTAGTTTATCTTAGGTAAAAATCATATGTAGGGCCAGAATTATTATACATTGGTAGCATATTCAAAGGGAACATGCATAAAAATAGGAGTGGTTTCTCCATTTGTATGTTCATTTGCTTGTTATATTTCTAGACTACCCACCAACTACAGTACTTTAGACACTGTGCACATCATTAAAATATATATCATAGGTCAATATACAATAAAAAATATCTTACTATAATAGTGATGTACAAGTTTTAATCCTAGTTCAAATATATTTCCACTTATACTACTAGTCTAAACTTTCACTTATAATACATGAATTATTTTATTCCAACAAATAGGTGTATAGACTTTTTGGAAGCAGATCATTGGTTTGAATCCAGCTATTGGACTTTGTCTTCATTTTATGAGATTCCATCCTTTCAGAGCTCAATTTATTGTTTTGACATATAGTCAATAACTCTTAAGCAGAAAAACATGGAGTCAGCTAGAGTATGCCAATTTCGGAAACCCTGGGTTAGAAATGCAGTAATGTGTTTGCCTTAGATTAAAAACCAAAGTTGCTTATCATAGGATACCCAGGCAATCTAGTATCCAGATTGATGAGATTAAATTTGAATTTCTGAGGGGGCTCCCCATATCTCAAGTGTTTGCACAATATATGTTGGCAGCATAATTATATTCCTTGTTGCCCTTCATAGTTACAGTTTCCTTATCTCATTATCCATAGGTATTAGAGATACCTGACAGGGGTATGACAAAACAGACTTGATGCCAAACCTACAACTTTGTACTTGCATTGGATGCAAGGATATAAGGACAGAAATTGCATTGCCACATGCATGTTTTCGTTTTAACATAATCTGGGTTGGCTAGAGTTACTTACATATTATTGTCTGCATCTTGTGTTGTATCTGAATGCTTTATTTCCTGGAGGATGTTGTTATTTTTATCCTGCCTTTTTACTTAAAAGCTCTCAAAGATAGTAATGTTTGTCATGTTTTCTTTTCAAAATATTTTAAATAACTATAACTAGCCTTATATCCTAGCATAAGCATATCCTGCTTGCTTAGTTAGTGAAATTCAACAGATGTTTTTCTAGTACAATACTGCCACCTGTACAAAAAGGGGC